GTTTATAGGGATGCATTTTTATTTTTTTAACAAACTTTCTGCCCTTTATCACCCTCAAGCGATAATTCTTTTTTTTTTAATATTTCCGAATACGTCCCTGTCTATTGCGACAAAAGCGTCCAGTTCCGTAAGAATTTGCTGAAACAGCATCGCGTTATTTCATTCTGTGTTGTAATAATGACGGGCGGCGTGTTTCGGTTTATGAATTTTACCGTGAAAAGATTTGGGAAAAAGGTGGTTTTGTTGAACTAAATGGTGGCTTCTGTGAAGTGTGCGTGTATTTGAATGTTTTCGAGGGAGAACGGATGATTTTATTGCCTGTTTTCAATGTCGTAAGTAACAATTTTTTTAATTTTTAACAACACACTCGCCTTCTGACATTTGAGATTTTATTCTAATAATCACGGACAAATAAGCTTAAATCGGCAGAAAGTTGCTGATGAACATTTATTTATTAAGAAAATAACAGGAGTTTTGTCGGAGCAAACACGGCTTTTATTCGTTGCTGTTATTCCCAATTAAATAATTTTAGATGAGACTGGGGAAAATAATACACCAAACGAAATAAACAATATTTATTATAATTTCAATTACAGCTTAAGATTATACAAACTAGTTCGTATTTTATACATTTTAAGAAACTAATAAGTTTTAAATTTAAATCTAATTTACGACGCAGTGGTTTAACCGCAATGTGCACAGTTATTTAACTGATTTTCTTTGCTGAATAATTTCCAATTCTGAATCCAATTTTTCGATTGTTTCTCTAAATTTTCGCTTCTTCTCCATCATTTTTTTTGATTAAGGGCTTTATTTGCAATTCGAAACGTTCCACATTCATTTGAAATCTTTTAACATCGTATAACCAAGTATTAATTCGGCTTTCTTTATCATTTATTAAGAAAATAACCGGAACTTTGTCGAAACAAACACGTCTGTTATTCATGACAGTTTGCAATCAAATATTTTTTACATGAGACTGGGGAAAATAATACACCGAACGAATTAAATAATATTTATTATAATTTCTATTACAGCTTAAGATTATTCAATTTAGTTCTTATTTCATACATTTTAATTGCTTCTTTTAAATAACTAATTCGTTTTAAATGTAATTCTAATCTACGACGAAGCAGTCTAACTGCACTTGATTTGTTTTCCACATAAACCAATGCCTTCTTCATTCTTCGATAAATTCGATATTGATGGTTCGACCGATCGGACCTCTATTTACCAAGTACAATTTCAAGCCGTTCACGATCTTCTGGTTCAGATCGCTGATCACTGAGTCGGTGAATTTTTCGGTAAATCTCTGTGGAAGTATGGTTCTAGACTCTTCAAGTTGCACAAATATCTTGTCACCATACTTTGTAGACAGTTTACTAAAATTTTTTGTTAAAAATTTTTTATTTTCTTCTAAAGTTTTCGCACTCACAAAAGCTTGCAAGTGAGACTCTTTATTCAAGGTAGAAATGAAAGATGACATTTCTAAGTGTTAAATAATTGAATTCAAAAAACTAATTAATTCCTACAGACGAATCCATCGACTTTTATACAAGTATAAAACGGAAGTGGGGATGCGAGATTGCGTCCGAGATCCCTCCCCGACCTAAACGAAAAGAGGGGATAGATCTCGAGATGAACGAGGGCAATAAACGACCAAGGTCGAGCAACGACTAGGTCAATGATCGCCCGATGAAAAGTAATGGGGGAGCTGGACCAGCTGGCAAGGTCAGCCACGTGCACCGACAAGCTCGACAACAAATGAAAGGTCAATGACCGCTCGATGAAAAGTAATGGGGGAGCTGGACCAGTTTGACCTCATTTGACCTGGTCTAGAACCCCCACTATATAACTACTCACAAGGTCTTTTCGGCTCCATTTCTTCGAAAATACCAACTATTTTTTAGAATCGTTAAAAGAAAATATGCCAATTTTTTGGGAAATTAAAAATCTGACTTTGAAACCGACTGTTTTGAAAATTTTGATTCGCAACTGTCCATACGCTATGTTTTTTTATTGAGCTTGTTCCAGAATTTTTTGTCGATTTTCACTTTCGCCAAAAATTAATTTTTTCGGTACCCCTTTAAGAAATGTTTTATTGGTTTCGAAAAACTTTGAAAATTATCAAAAGAGATTTATTTTAATAATTTAATAATTTTCATCTTTGGAAGTGGTTTTCGATTTCATTTTTTCGAAAACTTTTACAGATTTTCCAGAATCGCCATTTGATATACCAAAAAAAAATTGACTTTGAAGTCAGGTGATGCCTTGCGATTAAGATATGTAGTTGTAGTTCCACATTTTTTGTGGATTTTTAAGCAACTTCGCCAAAAGTTCAAGTTTTTAGTCCCCCCCTAAGAAATTTTTTACTTTCCCCGAAATTACCAAAAGAGATTTTTTTATTCAGACGTGATTTTCGGTTTTATTTGTGCGAAAGCAACGACTATTTTTCTAGAATCGCCAAACTCAAATGTAGCAATTTTTGGGATATTTTAAAAATTTGACTTTGAAACACGCTTGTTTTTCGATTCAGCTCGTCGAGATTCATATCCCAGAATTTTTTGTGCACTTAAAGTTCGAGTTTTTTGTGTATGAAACAAAACATATTTCTTTGTCAAGTGTTAAATGATGTTAATTACATCAATCAATTACGAAGTTAGTGTTTGATTGAAGAGTCTTCTATGCTGTTAACTCCTAAAATGAATTTTAGACCTCAGCGAATAGAATATAATATGTCATTAACAAATCGAAAAATAACAAAGGTCAGAGGTTACACCCCTGTGGTAATCCAAAAGTAGATGAAAGACGTTTACACAACTTCCTATCTATTAGTGAGGTAGGAATGAAAAAGTAGAAGTTGAGATTACGAGAAACCAAATCTCAGAGCGATGTCAACGCCAAATAAGAACAATAACTTCCAAAATTAAAGTAGATTTTTCAGAAATTCGGTATCGGCGCTATCCTGCAATTAAATCACAGGAAATGAAAAGTTCCCCTCGATTTTAATAAATCTCCAACCCTGAGAGACTTGAAGAATCTCTAACGTATTTTTTGTTACTTAAATGTGTTTTCGTACATGTAATAAAAGCACAGCATGATGTTATATTATAATGTCAGAGTAACATTGAAATAAATACACGTCACGCACAGTAAAGATTCGTGTTGCATTCAAAGTAAACGCTTGTTTTGGCTAGTATCAAGACCACTCGACTGAATTATGAAAGTCACCATTTGCATGTTTAACTGGTTCTTTTTTTAAATTTAATAATCAAGTGCAAGTGTTACATTGCTTGCAAAATTTTTTTCGAAAAGATTGCGTTAAGTTTTAAAAATTTCAAAAATTATAAATACAATCTTGATTTTTGAACAGTTGACAGTACTGCAGAAGTGATTGCAGTTGTTTTAAAACATGAGTTAACATCCAAATAAACTTAAGTGGGTTTTTTAGGATAACTCATATGTGTAAAATGTAAATAACAGACTCAAGGCGAAAGGTAAAGGGGTATGTCATTATTTTTTGGCAAAGATAGATTGTTCTAATTGGCGTTTTATCAATTCTTCATTTTTATATTTTTTCTTAATTACTTTCAATATCTAAGTATTTCTTTTAGTCACAATCAAACTTTATCAAGAAAATTGTAGTCCACCTTGTAGTCTTTTTTTTTACAAAATATGCAAAAGTAACGTTTTTAAATGCCACATCAAAGTGACGTTTTCTGTACGTTCACCTGTTCAAAAAAAAAAATGCAATTCCAACACCAGCAACCCGTTTGTGTCTATCAAACGCATTGTAAATGTTCACTACTCTTCTATCAATTTTAACCCCAATTATTTATAAGAGGCAGCAAAGCTAAGTTTTCGTTTCAAAATATAATCATTTCTTGACTAACGATATAATTTTAAAAAACGTTAAAGAGAATGATGAATGAATTTAATACCCGCAAAGGTGAATCACAGTGGTGAAGAAATAAATAGATATGCGGTGTTTACGTGCATAAATGCGAGCAAGTATTGTGTAAGTGAATAACTTCACCATCTTTTTTTAATTTGAGATACTGACTACACAATGAAGATAACTGTTTAATAAAAATATTTTTTTGTCTGACGACGTCAAAGTATTTTGTTTAATTTCCAAGTTGTCAGTAAGTTTCAGTTAAGAAAATGTTGCATTTAATTACGAGTGTCGTTCAAGGTTGACTGGATTTTGCTATTATTATTATTATTTTCGTACAAGTTAAAAAATCACGTCAGTGTTTATAAAAATAGATCATTATTTGCTGCAAGTTGAGTTTAAATTTTTACTTTCGTTTAGTTACTTACCGTATGGATCTAATGTTAGTTACTGTCGATATTTGTCTTTAAACTGAGACACAAAGTAATTGCAGAGATGACAGACTAACAAAATGCTTTACTCTTTTATAAGGAAAGAAATTTACATTTTCAAATTTCTGTCTGTAAATTTTTTTTTAATTACATATATTGTTACCATTTGTTGTACATGTTTCAGACATTCGTACCAATATGCTAAATCGAAAATTGATAGCATTGTATTGATTACCGGTTACAGCTGGAGCTTAATACTTTTACGTTACTTTCGCTGCGCTGTTACAATTAAATTTAGTTTACAAAATTTTGAACATTAATATTTTTCCTATATGCCACCGTTTTTCCTCATTCAGACATTCATACTTATTTATAATTTTAAAAACTGCGTTTTAATCTCAATTTACTTCTTTCCTGTGCTCCACCCTATGCACCCTCGTTGACTCACATCCTGTGGATGCTTAGCATCTATTATTTTATGCACGCACCCATTCTACACAGGTGTACGTTACGGTTTAGCAAACAATTTATATACTTTTCGATAAAAAAATCTATAGTATGTCATTAGTTCATTATCCTTAATTAAAACAAACATGTTACAAGAACAAACACATAAATGTAATTGATGAAAACTGTATTTAAAAATCAATACTGCAGCATATTACTTTATACAGGTATCAAGAATTTATAGGAATGCCAATCAGAAGAGCAGCAGACCCAATTAGTGTCCAGCATGTGTGGGATGCAATCAGATCGGCGGTTCTTCAGCGCCAAATGGCGGATTCTAAACGAATTATAAAATATTTACAAAGAGTCGATAAATGTACATACGCCCAAGCCGAATTATATATTCAACAAACTCTTCACGATGGATTGATTGTGTAAGTAATTTTGTAAATACTGTGGACAAAAGTCCTAAATTGTTGATTGTTGAAGGGCCTTACAAAAAGTTACCAAAACATCTAAAGGTGATTTAGTTGACAGTTTTCGGATTCCTACACAAGAAGTGGTACGTTTTCCTCTCTCTTCCTGATTTGATATTAATTAAAACTTGTAACAGCCACCGTTTGACGGAAAAGACTGGTACTGCTTTGAATGCCATCTTGGCGGAAATGTGACGGCTTGTAACAAGTGTTTTCGCGTTTTCCACTCAGAGTGTCTAACAAACGGGCGACGGAAGTTCCAAGAATTCAAGAAAAGCAGTATTCTTTACGAACAGCATAGCTCGTTGATAAAAGATGAATCTACACATAATTCCATAAGTTCTATAAATCTATCGTCGGACTCAGACGATTTAAACACCGGCAGCGAGCTAAGTACTTATAGATTGCCGCTAAATAATAACGATTCCAATAGCGGTCAAAGTAAAGAAGAAGCACAAGAAACACACAGCAATCAAGATGAAAGTCAAAGTACAGAGATGTACGACGAAACGTTGTGCAGTATGTGCAATATTTCGCAGTTACATGATAACTGCAAGCTAGAAAAACCAGAACTGAATTATTTACTAAAATTTGTAATACACAGAATTCAGTCATGGGTAAATTGGATTAATTTGTTTGTTTGTACAATATTAATTTGTAATAATATAATTTTTAGCTACCCAATACAATCACGCACACAATGGCCGAGGAAGACCGACCGGAGTGGTTAACAGACAGAGAATTAACGTGGCGAGCCAACCAATTATTTTTTGAACATAGGGATATGTCGGTCATAGAAGTAAATTTAAATAACGAGTCCTATAGTTATATACATGAATTTTTGGCAGACGTTCTAACGATTCAGCATAACGTTGCAATCTTCCATGGAAGTAAGTCAAACATATTTTTCTAATAACTAGAGTAACTCGTGTTGTTGCTTAGTTGAATCACAAGAATATGGAGCTGCTGAACTAATGGTTCGAGACTGTATGCACGATTTAACAGAGCTAAGACTTTGTGTAGACTGCTATCGGCACAGTAACGAAAAAATTAATTCTAAATGGTTTTGCCTTCCGTGTAGAGTACCTCATAAGTTAGTTTGGGCGAAACAGAAAGGTTATCCGTATTGGCCCGCCAAAGTAAGTAGGATTTTTAATTCGTTTTAACTGCTACACAAATGGTTTTTAGGTGATCCAAGAAACTAGTACACATTTTGATGTGAGATTTTTTGGCGGGAAATATGAACGATCTCTTCTAATGAAAGCATTTATTAAACCAATCGAAATTCCACAGTCAAAGTTACAAATTAAACCGTCTTCGGCCTTCAATAAATCTGTTGAAGAGTTAAAATTTCATCAGAGGTTATTGCAAAACCCGGACGAACTTCAAAAGTTAATTAGTTCGTCGAAAAATAGAGTCAGAAATCTTAATAAATCAAAAATTTCGCCTTTGAAAAAACCGCAGAATTCTGAAATGAAAAAACGGAATAGTTCGTTTGATATGAACGACGCATACAGATTTGATGACGGTCCATTCGCACAACAAAATCTTAATTTAGGTCAGGAACGACATAAGCGCAAGAGTAGCTTTTTCGAAGGTATTGAGAGCGTCTATTTGTTAAAATTTGTGTTTTAATTCGTTTTTTAGGAAGTCCCGTAATGAAAAAGAGTTCGACAATACTGAGTGAAGAAAAAGGTGAAGACGTCCACAACGTATCTGACAACATTATCCACATATCAGATGGTGAAGATGAAGAATTTTCCTATAGAGAAAATTACTCAACTTCAAATATTAAGTATTTACTGTGAAAATTAAGTTTGTTAAAATTCAACATATTCTATTTTAGTTATAATGGTTCATTTGAACAAGTGTCTAGTTCCACGGAACATTACAGAACCCCAGATACTTCATTTTCAAGGGGTCAAGAAAACGGAATGCAACAACTTGATCAGCCTTACAGTGATTCAGTAGAGAAGGTTCCTATGCACCTTTTTTAATTTCGTATTAAATGTAAAATTTTGTCTGCAGATGAGAAGAAAAATGGAAAGTTTGAGTGATAAGAAGGACCTTATAAAATGCGCTATGGATTGCATGCAAACAGAAGTTGATAAAATTACCAATGAACACAATGAACACCTGAAAAGGTTGTTTGAATCACATAATCAACAGATATCAGAGACGAAGAAAAAACAATGGGTAAATGTTCATTATTGGTGTTAATAAAAAAATACATAATTTCTTTTTTGTAGTGTTACAACTGTGAACAAGATGCCATTTATCACTGTTGTTGGAACACGGCGTACTGTTCACAGAGTTGTCAGCAGCAGCATTGGCAAGCAGAACACAAAAAGGTTTGCAGACGTAAACGCTAGTGTTCCTCGTTTGAAATAAAATACACAAAATATTTTTGCATACTGTATTATTTTGTGTATTATATATTTTTATAGTTTGTTAACAGGATGTTATCACCCAATATCATTTATGTAGTTGTATTTTACTTGTTACAAGATGTACGGTGGGGACATTGGCGTAATTTTCAATTTTGTATGACATGAAATGCAATTTTTATTGGTTTTAGGACCAAAGTGTAAAAGTACAATTATGATAGTTGACTAATTAATTATAGGCAATAAATTCAGTTTGATAAAATTTAAAGTTTATTGTGTAGGCGTGTAGATATTCTAAATATTTTAAATTTGTTTGACTTATAATTGGGAGAAATCACTTGAAAGTTATGCCACTAATTCTTTGTAGTCCAGGAAGGTTAAAAATAGCGAACAACATTAAACTAAGCTGATTTTTGGCAACCATGTGAATTTAAAAGTGAGCAAAAAAGGTCGCATTGCGGTAGAAGAGAGAACTTAAAATTGTTTACGAAAATATTTTTCCCAGGAGGAGTTTTTGTATTTCAAAGACAAAACTTTATTGAAGGAACTAGACCAAGCTCGACGTAGATGTATTCTCATTTTGTTTAGACTCTAGTTGTAATAGAAGGAATTCAGGTAAAATTAAATAGGGCTGCTATAACTAAATTTTAAGTTATGGTTCCACTTAAAAATATTTGATGCCATATTGTCGCCATAGCAGCAAAGATCAGTAGAAAAATTGGTGACAAAGATGTTTTTGGTGCAGTGTTTGTTGTTGCGCATAAAAATTATATTCCGTTTGGGGCGTATAAATTTACTTGCATTGCATCCCCATGTGAAAGTGATACTTGCCCTTTAATATATTGTTTATATTCTGGAGTTTAGTGTTTCTGTGTAACTGGGTTTACACGCAGTCTAAATTAAAATTACTGTTTTCCTTTATTGTGTAAGTGCAGATTTTTTTAACTTCTACTCTACTCGTTCTGTATACAGAGTTTAAACAGATTGAAAATCTCTAAAAATGACAATTTCTTTGTAAGTTGAAAAACAAAGAGCCCTCCTATAAAAAAAATTGAAATTATTTTTGTTCTAAAGTATGTTTAAAGATCTTGAGATTTCGTAAAGAATTAAAACGTCCTTTTAGTACTTCCGTTTTCTAGAACTTTTTATGTTAAATAGTGATAATGTCCCAAAAATCATCATTGGTCGAATTTTTTCGCAAATTCGTCTAATTTTCCTGGACTATTGTGTTATCTTCTTACTTTTTATTGTTTAGTGAAAATAGTATTGCTTATGAATGTATTTTTACATAGAATAAATTTTTATGTACTTTGGCAGAACATAATTTAAATCATTCTCAACAGAAATATTTTCCTTTATGTAGCTTTGTTAAATGCATGTACAAATAAATTCTATAATTCCTATTGTGCTTTTTATTCATCTGTCACTTCCTCAAATTCCACATTTTTAAATGCATTGGCAATATTGTTATGGCTTTCCAGAAACTGTAGTTCCTCTCGTGACAATTGTTCACCCAGTTGTCTTAAAGCAGTTAATATTTCAGCCTAAAATAAAACATGCAGTAAATGGGCGTGAACAGAGTTTCTACAACCTTTTGTCTATCTCTAGCATCACTACTCAGTTTGTTGAGTTTACACTCTTGGTCTATATTGTACAACCTATCTCTTAATTGCTTTGGTTCTCTTTTACCAAAAAGTCTGATGACTTCGGGTGTTTTGAAAGCTTGTGATATGGCAGCTTGAGTGGCCTTAAAATGGTTTAATTAACGGAATGTATTGAAAAGATATGCATAAATACAAGTTGTACAGCCCCCAAAGCACTAACAAGTGATATATCACCTTTAACCAGCCTGGATAAGCTGTCATTTAGTTCTTTCAATTGGTCCATCGTCTCTTGTTTGGTTTCTTCATATTCCTCCGGATCCAAATCGTGTCTAAAAATGTAATCTCAGATTCGTGTAGGAAAGTCAATTTAATTGAAAACTAACTTGCAATTTTCTAAATCTCCAAGTTGTTCGACGAGCCGATCCAGCTGATTTTCCAGATTTTGTTGCAGTTTGGCGGTCTCCGCTTTCCCATATGAGGTCATTTTGGCCAGTTTGCGAAATCACTTCATAAAAATTTGCATTTTTTTGTAGGTTATATCAATTTCGGGCCGATGCCCGTTAACTCTTTTGTTATCTAGGTGGTGTGGGTCGAGCACCGACGTGCGTTGCGCACATCGTCCTTGTTTAATTAATTATAAGGTGAGTGAGAAATTGAATCTCTACGTTGGCATTTCAGGAAAATATGTTGTTGTAGTTCCGCAATTTTCCGCTAGGTGCGTTAGGTGTGCTTTTCTAGCAACGTGAAAGCCGCGTGTCATTTTTAATAAAGTTATAAGTTTAATTTAAATTTGAGGAAGTGACATTGAATAAATTCGAGTTCGCATAAAGTTCGGGGGTGTCAGGCCTGTTGTCCGATAGTGTGGAGACGCCCCGCAGTGCGTTACAAAAATAAAGAAAACATGTTTTTGGGTTAAAGTTCCGCCATCTTGAAACATATCTTAACCTTTGATTAGGAATAGTGCTAGTGTTATCTAAGTGACGATTTCGTTATTCCACCATCAGCAGATCTGGACATTTGGTGCGATGGTGGCGGCCGGCCTGTGATCGCGTTGGACAGTGTGTTGTGATGTCAGTCCCGAACATATGCAGTCGTTAGGATCGGACACGCGGCCTCTGTAGGGACGCGGCCCCCAGGGCTGACATGAGCGGCAACCAGAAGCAGGCCGCCGGCGGAGGGCCCCAGAACCAACGCTACTCCGCACCACTGTATCCTTTGACGGCCGTTACGCCCATCTGTCACAGCTGTCAGTCAGCCCCCAGTCCCCAATTAATTGTTATTGCGCCAATGTGCGCTGCATTGTTTCGCTAGAATGTGAATGCTAGTTCCCGTTTGCAGCGGTGGCTACACGCTGGTAAACTTTCATTAGTTCACATTCACCTGTCCTGCAGACCACCACCAGTCATTATCAATCCATATGGTGTTCTCGCACAATCACGCCCAGCGATTTGCAGCGTTTTGTCCCCGAAATTGAAACTCCTCTCGTGCGCCAAATACTCGCGCTGTGTCCCAAATCTCGTTGCATCACTATGTGAAAAGTGAAGTGCTGGCATTATTCTCAGCAAACCGCTCCTTTCGCGATTTAATTACATAATTGTGTCCGTACTGCCACGCATATTGCATGGACGAACATCAGGTAAGGTCAGGTGCCCCCGTGATGAGTGCCTTGTTTTTCCGAATGACGGAGACTCGTGACCCGCTTTTGACAGGACCCGCTTTTCCATACGACGTTTCTGGGTTTTCCCGACTTGCAACTTACGACTTTTTTTAAGCCAACCAGTTGCACGCGGTAAACGTTTCGGATCCCAGTGTACTTGTGTAATGGGTAAATACCGAACCATGGTATTGGGCGAGTAATCGCGACGTGTACCAAACAGGCGGTGGAATGGTTGCTGCTTACGGGCAGCGAACTGTTGCAGACTTTGTGTTTATGAAAAATTAAATATAAGACATATTACTGGATTTATTCTACCGTGTCGAAGTTTTTACCAGGCAAAATTGAATAATTTTAATGAATTATAATGCACATTAACGTAAAATGTTTTAATTTTCGAATATCAAAAACAAAGAAGTACGTAATTTGCCACAAAACTTGCTGCCACTTTTCGACGCGCATATGGTAATGGTGATAATATTATTATCAATAGTAAAACATTTCTGTTATCTCAGTCAGTGACTGGCGAGGTGACTGGTTAAAATAACCAATAGAAATATATTTTTTCTAATTATATAATATTTCTGAGTTATGTTAATAATGACAATTGAAAACATCGCAGGGACAAAAGATGTTTTTAACTTGGTCATGTAGTAGATTGCGTCAACATTTAAATAAAAATTCAATAATTATGATAGTGTTTTACCTAATTGGTCAGTTGTAAAGATAAAACTACATCACTTCAACCAATTCGAGTTTCATACATTTGGCTATTTATTTAACGATAGAGTTATTTTTTCATTTTCATTGGGTAAACATTAAAATCACGATTCTATTACTATTATAACCAATGATAAAGCTTTAATTGCAAACGCGGCCATTTTTCGAGTTTGTAGTGCCTTTTGTATATTGGTAGCACTGCTGATTCGTCAAAAATGTCAAAATACATACAAGCCATTCAACGACATAACAGCCTAAAATTAAATGAGTAAGGTCGTTAGATATGCATTACTTTACAAGGTGTGGCAAATTCCCCATATGTACGAATAACAGAGGAACCAAACTAATGCATCAGACAAAGTAAGAACGAGAGTGGTAATTTTTGCATTCTTGCTGTGGCACTAGTGACTCATACAAGATAGGTCGGAAGTGCCACCATAGCGACAAAAACACCCAAGTTACCAAAATTTATGCATGAAAATAAAAGACCGAGATATATATCTATTTCTGTTGCCACACTCCCCAATGTTCAATCCTCTGGCCGGTGGTGAGCTTAGAATTTAACAAAGCTTGTGCCAGGTGCCGCAAATTTTAAAGAAACCAGAAAATAAGACTTCACAAAAGAAGTTTCTGCCCGACTAAGCTAAAGTCCAATTAAAATAAATCCGTCAAAGCAAAGATTTGATGTCATCCAAAATGCAGTTTATTTTTTTTGTGAAAACGTTTTTCAACTTGACTATTTTACCAGAGCGTAGACCAGAAACACTGAAAATAAATTATGCGTAATTTTTAAACAAAATTACAATTTTTTTTTTTTTATTAAATTGATAACGTGTTAAGTTGGTAAAATTTTGTATCTTTGTTTTGCTGCTGGGTGAAATATCCATAATTAACTTTAAACACAATAAGGTTTTATTGTAAAAAAAACTACAGAACTTTTCACCCCAATCGTGATCAAGCACGCAGGAGAAGATATGTCAGGTCGATGGCGTCATCTTGACTGTAGCTTGCGGCAACTTCACGTTTAACATTTATTAAAAAAAAAAACTCGTCGCTGATTGGTCAGTTCAAGGTCAATGGTGGCTGCGTGGCTATTTGCATGCTACGTCGGTTATAAATAATAAATGTGTTAATTTCTGATAGTCAGACACAATAGTACAGCTTATTACTCCTTGAAGTATGGTTTGAGCTTAGATGATTTATTACAGGTGGCGTGGAAATTGAATCATTCATGATTTCTACCGTAAAAAGTAACGTTGAAAGAGAAAAATGTATGTGATATATTCACCCAGTAAAAAAAAAATTCAGTAATGAACGCTTATCATCAAATTACGTCAGATATTAAAATTAGTGCATTTGGGTATCTCTAGAGTATGAAAATTACGTATTTTTCGTAGTCTGTTGCCTTCTTTTTGGTGAATTTGGGTTAAAATGCCTATACTTGTACTTTTTTAACTACATTATTTTTTATGATAGGCAAGGAGAACTTGATTTTTTAATGACACGACAGAATGACTACTAATTTCTGTTTTTATGTAACCACGTCATACACACTAATTACAATAAATAAATTACAATAACATTTAAATAAATAAGAAAAAACCTTGTTAGGATTTTTTTGGGAGCATTTCGTTGGTTATTGTTTAGTTTATGTGAATAATATTTGGAAAATTTATTTGCTAATTCAACCATACGAGTTAAAACAGTTAATTTTTTATGTATATATCAATGTAGGGTAGTTATTTTTTTTTTTTTTCAAAATTTGAAACTTCCATCTTTAAACATGACACATAAAAATACAACTGTGGTGTAGAAATGAATATAAAAATAATTTTGAGTAATTAACCTTACTCTTTTTTCCAACGATTCACGGACAACGAGTAGTCTTTCACTGTCAGAGCGGTGACACACCCTGTATATGAGATATACACATATGTATAAGTCAAATTTTAACTAATTTTTGTAAATTCTTGACAGGTAAAGTCGCTTCAATTCAGAATAAAGTGCTGGAGAATTTTAAGTATTTTTCTTTTGTAAGCAATGTACGTATACAGTGTGTTCTGTAAAAATGTATCGTAATTTTATTAAGATATTCCTTGAAGAAAAATAACCCAAAGAATCTCCACAAACAAATTTTGCTTTGATAAATTAAAAAATAATTGTAGTTTAAGTGTGACCCATTGGAAATAATTGGAAAAAAAACTTTTAAACATCTTAAATTATAAATTTTTTTTTATAATGTATGGTTAGGATTATTAGCATATGACAAAGCTTTTTTCATAAAGTTTTTTCTTTTTTCGGAAATAAAAAAGGAGCATCACGTTCAAATGAAACAAAAACTTGGCTTACAAGGTGTTACATACTCTTACACTCTCTTTGCACCAGATGTGCAGTGTATGCGCGAATTAAATGACAGATGGTAACGCTATGTTCACTGATTTTAGAACGTTAAGGTTGCTGATATTTTTGTGTGGGTTTATTTTGTTTTGGGTGGCGTATTTTGGGTTATCAAATGACAAGCCCAGTCAAAATTAGTCCGACCATAGCACATAGATATCATTTTACAAGCTTTAATTTTAGGTACTAGATGGTGGGGGCCGTGGCAAATGAAGTAGATGTATATCGCTGTCTTTTATTTTCGCGGATAAATTTCGTAGCCTTTTTTGAATTTTAAAGTTGTCGTACATACTATGTACTAACTCAAGTTGTGGCAATTTTCATATACACAAATAAGAAATACAAATGTGTCAAGCAAAGTAAAAATAACAGTAGTAACTTTCCCATTTTTAGTGTGGCACTACAGTTATTTTCTCGATACTGTTCCCCATTTTACTGCACTGTCACTGGATTTGTCGTGGTGTGATGTACAAAATAGATATTTACATCAAGTACAATAATTATAATAAATAATTTACAGTAACATTTAAATAAACAAGAAAAAACTTTGTTGATTATTATTTTATTATTATATTTCATGAACATTTGGAAAATTTCTTTCTCACTTCATTCAACGAAATGAATCATTTGTTATGTAAAATTCATAAATCCTTGCAATTAAACGAACTTTGGAACAGATGATTACTTGAAACTGGCGCCAATTGACGTAGAAAACAATAACGGATGTTGCACGTTTTTACTTCCGGCGTTAATTAAATTGTTATGAAGGTCAAAATTTAAATTAATAAAACGATACGTGGCACCACCTTGTTGGCGGAATCAAAAC